ACTCGAGGCTCTGTGGCAGCTATTACAGAGATGATTTGGGCTCCCCCACGGGCCTCGTGGTGAAACGCTGGGTGGAGAGGAAGCACATGGGCAGGACAGGGACCCACCTGCCCCCGCAGCTCCCGTGGACCTGCCCCCCGAGCCCCGGCCGCCCCGCCGGGTGGTTCCCGCAGTCCCACATGGCAGCATCCCACACACCTTCAACACCAACAACACACTGAACCGAGCAACCTGTCTGAGTGGCATGCATACAGAGAGGAAGAGTAAAACACAACCCAACCAAACCCACAACAACACATCAGAATTTTAAGGCTATGCATAAAACAAAATGAAGCAGTATCTTTAAAGCTAGGTAGCAAGTAGCATGTGTCAAACATAAGGCTTGAGGCTTATTGATCCTTCAGAACAGGTTTATTTGCTTTTCCTTCTTAAACACCAATGTACCATTTTTCTTCCTTTGCTTGAACAGGGATTTTGTTTTCTTCTCAGCAGGGACACTTAACTCAGGGAAGTGATGTTGGAGCGGCCTCCTGGGGGTGCCACAATGCGCTTGCTCGCTGAGCGAACACCCTCATCAACCTGGGTACCTAGGACAGGACAGAAAAGCACAAAGGGAATGGGGAAAGCCAAGTTAGGAGCATTTTCTTCACAGGCCTGAGCAGTCAAGCAGCCTAGGGTCTCGTCAAAGGGCCTCCCAAGGCTGTCTACAGCAACCTGCTCCCTCTCCAACTCTAGGAATGAACCCAAAAGCAGCAGTGGCTTGAATGCATCTGCAGATGCTGCTCATGAACAGACCCACGTGGCAGGAGCAGGGTCTGATGCTGCACTGGCACCTCCACGGCCACAGTCCTCCTTGCTTCTACTGCAAGGTGCAGCAGGGTGGAGGGCCAGCTCCAGCCATGTCCCTTAAGGGACTCACAGGGTCTCACTCTCATGCTCAGCTCTTATGCTCAGCTTGTCCCAGGCCACCTCCCGGCTGTCCCCTGCCCCAGGCCAGGAACATGGCCAGTGGATCTGTGCTCTCCCAGCCCAGCCACCATCTGTGTTCACCTGACAGGCTGAATCCAGACTGATGGAGGTTCCTGACAGGGGGTGTCTGCCGTGTGGGGGACCCCCTGGTTGACCCTGCAGGGGTGCCCCCCTTGGGGGTGGTGGTCAGGTCAAACACGGGTCCGTCATACATGCCCCGGGGCACAGCATGCATCTCCGCCATCTGTCACCAGAGAGAAGAGGACAGTGACACTTCTCAGCTCCCAGGGAGCACCTTGCCATGGCAGCATCGTGCTCCAGCAATCCTGGGTTCCCTAGTCCCACTGCAGAGGCAATTCACACTGCCAGCCCTGTGCCCCTCTGTCCTGCGTACCCAAGACCCCTGGGCAGCATTGAGGCCCCAGTGCCCACCTCCTATGACAGCCCACCTTCACTGCCACCCTGCCAAGTGTGCAGAGCCCCGTGCACAGGTTTGTGCTGCATGGATGGAGAAGGAGAAGGCCATTTTGCCCAGTCTCCTTCTTTTTAACTCAGCACCTCTCTCCAGACTCCTGCTAAAGCAGGACAGCAACAAGGGCAAGTTTCACTCACTGTTGACTCAGCCAAGCATCTGCCTCCAGTGGTGACCCACCATCAACACTAAGGTCAAAGCTCTAGCCAAACCTTAGCTATCCCAACTGTAGGGTCAAAATACACCAGAATGCAGCACTGTTTCCAGAGTCCACTGAGAACAGCAGAGTAAAAATAATCAATTATTAGGGAAAAGGGCAATTTGGGCCAACAGTGTCCCAACATTGTCTCCTGGCATCCCTGCCTCCTCACCTTCCTCCTGGCTTTGATGCGCTTGTAGACATAGTCAGGGAAAGGGCTGCAGGGCAGGAAGCGTCCAGTGCCCTGGGTCACATGCAGGTTGCCATCCTCCAGCATGATCTTCCCCTGGCATATGACAACCAACGGGGCCCCACGTAGCTCCATCCCTTCAAAGATGTTGTATTCTGCTGCCTGCAACCAGGGATGATGGTCAGGATGGAAGTGAGCCCTGCCTGCCCACCCAGGGCTGTTTAGTCCCCACACCTCACTGCTGAGGTCACCAGAGCAGGGACACCTGTAGCAGCCTGGACTCAGTCCCTCCAGAGCCCAGCACAGCAGGCCAGCACCAAGCTCCCAGCAGCTAGGTGGTCTTTACACATCCCACCCTCCAGCATTCCCACAGACAAGCAGAGGACTTACAGACTGATGGGTTTTTGCTGTGACAATCTTCACTGCATCAGGGTCCCATATGACCAGATCACTGTCTGAGCCCACTGCTATCCTCCCTTTCCGTGGGTACAGGTTGAAGATTTTTGCAGCATTAGTGCTTGTCACAGCCACAAACTGGTTTTCATCCATCTTCCCTGTGGCCTGCTCAGACACAAAGAGAATTAAGCACTCTTGTGGGGAAAGGGAGAGTAAAAGGCCCAGGAAGGACCAGACTCCCACACAAGCCACGAGATAGCTGGGCCCTGACCTCTGTGGCTGATCTTACTGCTGCCACCAGACAGACCGAAAACAGGGGGCACAGTACAGCTCCTGGCTGCTCACCCTGAACCTGGGACAGCTGCCTCTCCTGCTCTGGCTTGGTTTGAGTCCAAGCCAGAAAGGAGGCAGGCAGCTGGGTGCCCAGCTCTGCAGCGGTGAGACCGCGGGTGTCTGAGGTGCCTGTCGGCCCTGCCCGCTCTGCCCTCACCCTGGTGTGACTCTTACCACTGCCTTGTCCCAGATGACAGACATCCGTTCCTCTATGCCGTTGGTCCCTTCTGGGATCGCTGTGAAGTTGTCTTTTCCAATTGCTTTTTGTGCAGTGCTGAATGTACAGTGGGCACTTCCTGAAACCTGCAGGTCACCACTGAGGGTTGGTGGTAACAAAATCATCATCAGCCATCTTGTGGTCAGAGAACAGCAGTGACACAAAGGAGACGGATCTCCTCTGGCCACATGCAGCCCCTGGCTCAGCTCTGCTTTATTCTGCACCTGTTTCTACAGCCACTCAGTCTGAAAATTTTCACCCGACTTGGCCCCTGCAGCTCCTGCAAAGCTCCTTCCAGCCCCGCATAGACACCCACAGCACAAGCTGCAGCAGCCAGCAGCACAGACCAAGCAGCTGTGATTGCAAGTGCAGGCTGGCCCAAGCTGCAGCATCTCTGCAACATCACTGCTACAAAGCAAAAGCTCCTCACGGCCACATGTATATCTGACAGTGGGCTGAAGAGTGTCAGGGCTCCCCAGAAGCAGCCTCAGGAGGCCCAGAGAAGCTTCACTGCTCTACAGCAGCTGCTGCTCAATGCTGTGATCCAGCTCCGCTCTGCCCAGAAAGGGTCATTGGTCAGATGAGATGCCCTGACCCATCTTGTTCCTGATGGCAGTGGGCAGAGCAGGCAAATCCAGTGAGCTGCCGAGAGGCAAGGCAGGGTGAGGAGCTGCCCAGGGCTCCCTGGAAATCACCCATGTAGTGCTGGGTCCTTGGGGAGCAGGGGCCAGGCAGCAGCTGGGAAGGAGACCAGCACAGGCAAGTGGGCTCAGCCAGACCGGCTGCACCTGAGCCCAGCATGGAGCAGACACAGCAGGTCTGCTCGGGGCTGTGAACCAGCCCTAATCCACTGGTAATCTCCATCTTCCTCTGATAATTTCTGCCATATGTCTGACTGCACAGCCAGAGACCCAGGATCATGACACACCATGCTTCCTAATCGCCACCAGATTTGTCCTGGTGGAAGAAAACAAGCAACCCGGCCCAGCTGGAGCCTCACAGCCTCTCTTCTGGCTGAAGCCTCCCAGAAAACAGTGCAGGAAGGGTGTCAGGACAGATGCCTGTGGGCTGCAGGGACTCAGAAGTTCTCTTGAGTCTCCTTTGAGGTCTGGGTTAAATTTGAAGTGGAAAGGAAGGATTAGAAAGCCAGTACAGGAGCTGGGCATATTTTCCCTTGCCAGTCCCCAAGACCTGCACCTATTTCTTAAATCCAGACTGAGCAGAAAAATCTCTTGCTCCTTCACCATGGCAAAATCCAAGGTGAGCTGCCATATTTAGACCCCAAATGCACTGGCACCTCTCTTAATCCAGCCATGGCACATCCACCCCGGCACAACTCAGGTTTGTCCTAAAGTGTCCCTCTGCCAAGTCCCCTTACTGAGCAGTCATCCCTTGCTCATCTAGTCAGGGATGTTTCCAGAATTGCTTCAAAGGTCATTTCCATTTACAACCCCCTCAGTGTCAGTTGTCTTCTGGCTAACACAGAGCAGGTGCCATGCACAGCACAGCGAGCACACACAGGGCACATGGAGGGGCCAGCCTGTCCTGAGCTGCTGTCCCTGCCTCACCAGTGAGGGGATGGGCTGTAACTGGGAAAGGTCAAAGCAAATCGCTGAAGTGCTTTCATTGTTTGCTCTCTATTTTCAACAAATCCTTGCCCGCCCCCTTGTCTTCAGGGTGAAAAAATGACCTGCCATCCCTGTCAGATGTGCGTGAGCTGCCCTTAAAGGCATCGTGCACTCCGCAGGCTGTGCTCTGCTCACCTCCACAGGCCTGAGAAAGCACCTGCTCTGTGTTCGACTGGTGGGGCCCCCGTCAGCCTCTGACACCTGTAACCCTCCCACCTTCTGCAACCATCACAACCCAGGCAGCCATTCCCCACCTGCACGGGCAGAAGGGCTTCTCTGGCTTGGTGAACACTGTCATTGACAACTGTGTTAGCTGGGCCTCATTTCTTTTACTTCTTCAGGGCCTTAAAAATGGTTCATAACTACTTGCCCTGGTATTTTGCTCATCACTGATGTTAAACCTATGGTGCTTCCTCCATCCTCAGGCCCCCCAAAGCTCTGAGTCCCACTTTGCCAGTCAGGTCATTAAATACCTACATTGAAGTGGTTCAGGTTGGACTAATGACTATGCTGACTAGGTACTCCCTAACCTCTTCCTTCCCTCTCTGAAGCCAGAGTCTACTTCTTCCTGCTATCTGCATCACCCAGCAGAGCTGTTGCTCACCTGGCCAGAAGAGAGTTGATGTAGTCAGGAGTTGTTGGATCTGGGCTCAGAGGAGGAGAGACCACAAACGCCGCAGCCTTGGCCCAGTTCTTGCTCCAGTAGTGCGTCCCGTCGGTCCCCAGACTGGCCGTGATGGGCTCACCAAACACCACATTGCCTGGGAAGGGGGACAGGAAGGCCTGGACTAACTGCTCCCCAGCTGAAGGGGGAGCACTGGGCTGTACTCGGGGCACAATGGTGGTCTTCGCCAAAGCACCATGAGGAGGTGGGGATCACCTAATCCAGCTGCCAGGATCCCAGGGACAGCAGCAAGGCTGTGGGCAGCTGCCACTCACCTTTTTTCCTGGCTTGCGAGATGAGGTCAGCAGCACTTTTGCTCATCACTTTAGTCACATAGAGAGGACAGTTGGTCTGGCTGGCAATAGTGATGGCCCGGAAGACAGCTTCTGCTTCCAGCTGGAAGTAAGAATGGCACACTGCTGCAAAGGAGCACTGGGTGGGCAGGGAAGAGCCCCCGCTCCTCTCTGCACAGCACGGGTTACTGCTGACACCTTATGCCCGTGCTCTTACCCTTGACTCCTGGAGGACAGGTTAACCAGGGAGGCCTGAAGGAAGCTGCAGCCTCCCTGAGCTTGGTCCAACCCACTAGCTACAGCCACATGATGCCCAGCAGGGAAGCTCTGCCTGGACCCTGCTTGGAGGCCAGCCCAGAGCTGCAGCTGCTGTTCTTTCCACAGCCTGGTTCCAGCTCTCCCAACAGCCAGAGAAGCCCAGGGGCTGCTGCCTGGGACTGACAGCATGGCTCACAGGCTGATACCCACCCCTTCAGAACACTCACAGCTCCAGGCTCTCCTGCAGCTGCATTTGGTTTAACCAAACCTCTCCCTGCCTGTGGCTGGGGGCCCCAGCGGTGCGCGGCGGGCGGCCCGCACCC